GGGCCTGTCAGTCCCTGTAATAAGTGTGTTTGTGCATGTGGTAACTAGAGGTCAGCACTGGGTCTTCTATCACACTCCACCTTTTGTGACAGGGTCTTCCATTGAATCTGCAGCTTTCCTTTCCCTGCTCTTAGCACTGTAGTCACAGATGAATGTCACCACGCGTGGCCTTTGTGCTGGAGATCCCAATTCAGGCCCCCAGGCTTGCATAGCAAGCACTTACTGCCGGAGTCATCTCCCCGGAACCATTTTCTGAAATAGCGGGGAGTAGCAGTTTCGTAACTTCTGTGTATTCTCGATGAGAGCAGGCAAGTCCATCTTTTCAGGATGAAGGGAACAGGTTTCTCCCCACTGGAAAAGGGAACTGCTCAGAGAAAGGAGAAAATTGGGTCCAGACATAGATAGGGCACATTACTTCTTTGGTATTCTTGTCAAATTCATAACCTGAATCTCCTCAGAGACAAACATTATACAGATCCAAACCAAGGGAGATTCTGCAAACATAATGGACAATGCCACAAAAGGCTAAGGGAGTTAAAAAGAAAAGTCACAACTACATAACGGTCGGGTCTGATCCTGAAGTGGGTCCTCACCCGGGAGGAAGAGGAAGATGGAAAATCCATAAGAGCATTACAGGAGAGATGGCAACCTCTGACATCCAGCCTGTGGGTCAGGTACAGTGACTGCTAACACTGAACAGTCTCCGTTTCCAGAGTGCTATGTAAGTGAGAGAGGGTCTTTGTTCTTAGGATATTCACAGGGTGATGTTTGATTGAGAAGGAACAATTCCCTGTTGAGTCTGGAAAATTCGAGACAGAAACCAGAAGGGGCAGAGCTGAGGAAGTAGGCCAGCAGAGGGGAGGACGGTGGAAACCTCAGAGACCCTGGTAAAGGCCACATAGGAGCTGACTCTGCAGTTTTCTGTATGTTCGGTTTTTTTTTTTTCTTTTAAAAAGATTTATTTCCTTTACTTTACGTATACAAGTATTGTGCTTGAATGTATGTGCACCATGACTGGTGCCTGAAGAGGCCAGAAAAGGAAGTCGGATTCTCTGGAACTGGACATAGGGATGGATGGATGTGAGTAACCATGAGGGTGCTGGGAAATGAACACAGGTCTTCTGCAAGAGCAGCCAGCATTATTAACTGCTGAGCCATCTCCACTGCCCCATTTTCTGTAGTTTGAAAGTGTATCAGAAGGACTAGAGATGCTCAGTGGTTAAGAGCACTGGCTGTTCTTGCAATGGACCAGAGTTCAGTTCCCAGCACCCACATCAGGCTGCTCACAACTGCCTGTAGCTGCAGTTCCAGGGGATCTGATACTTCTGGCCTCTGCAGGCTCTCCTCTCCACCACTCCCACACATATAATTTAAAATAATAAATCTTTTAAAATTGTATCAAAATACAGAATTACTGAAAAAAAATCCTAATTGGAAATAAAAGAGAGAAAGAAATTAAGAAACAGATTGCTGCTAGTAAATTTCCTCAATGCATTCTGGGGCAGCTTGTCAGGATTTTGCTGTTCACAGTCACACTTGTTGGCCTGACAGAAGTCACCAACACCCTAGAGCTGAAATGCAATTTATGCGCATGTCAAAAAGGTCTCTAAGTTCTGGCAATAGATGCCACCATTTAAGGAAGTTCTATGAAACTATGAAACAGAAATGAAAATGAAAACAAGAAAGCAACCCCTCAGCACCCACACCTGCCTGCACATATGTGAAAGGAACAATTCATCCTGCTCTGTCCCAAGCTGAGATCAAACAGGCTTGGACGTGCTGAGAGGGCAGTGATGCCACCTTCCTAGACACAGAAGCAAAGGCCCATGTCCTCCTTCAACTCAGGCAACATGATGACAGCTACACTGTCAGTATCACTGTTTAATCAACAGGAGGTTTACTACCCTCCTCCCCAGACTGTATCCTGCTTTCCCAGCCCCTCTTTCTGCATTTGAAGCTAAGTCAAGACAAAGACACACGGGGGTGGGCCTAGGCCCTATCCCAAAGAATAAGACAGACTCTGAAGACCCCCTATGGAAGGCCTCACCCTCCCTTGGGAGCAGAAAGGGTATGGGATAGGTAGGGTGTTACTTGGTGGGGGGTGTAGGGGAGGAGGAGAGGGAAAGGGACCTGGGATTGATATGCAAAATAATTTTCTTTCTAATTAAAAACAAATAAAAAACAAACAAACAAAAACAAAAGTAGAATAAGCCTTTCTTCTTGGGGAAAGCACCAAAGGAAAACATCACCTCATGGGAACAAGAGACAGAGTCTCAGTCCTCAGTGGGAAACCCTTAAAAACACCACCACCAGCGCTGGGGAAGATAACAGGAGAGGAGGCAAAAAGAATGTAAGGATGAGGAGGGCCGTGGAATTTGAAGTTCTGGACTTGACATGGTGACTATACTCATAAACTCATAGAAGCTATGGTTACCTGCAGAGTCCTGGGTGAGACAAATCTAGTCAAAATTCCGGCACAGATGGGCGAGGTGTGCCCAAGGCCCCATTCCCTACTGGGGAGCTGCAGCGGTTGACAGCAAGCTGCCGGAGAAAGGATCCATCCTTTTCTGAATGTGTGGCCAATGACTGTTTCCTGAGCTTCAGAGGATGGCCCCACACCCAGACACACATGGAAAGTGCTAACGGGACTGACTAGGTAATTAAAGGGGGGTAATGAAGTTATGAGGGGGTTGTATTGGGGGACTAATTGAGGGGAGTTAAAGAGGGGAGATACAGGAAGATAGGATCATGCATTCTTGTATACATGTATGAAATTCTCCAGAATGAAGAAAAAATAACAAATATCAATGGAGAAATTTCTAGAACTCATTTTTAAGTCCAAAGAATTTTGATTCAAACAGCAGCAATTCAGACATGACTCAGTATAAAAAAAAAATCATGCTGAGTAAAGCGTTAAGAAAACATTTAGAGCGACAAGGCGTAATTGGAATTGTCATGTTGAAGTATTAACGTTGGTCTGCAGATGATGGCGAATGACAGGGAAGGGGGCCAAGAAAGTAAACAAGGGGCTTCTCCTGGAAGGAGGTGCAACCTTCTCGGCACAAAGGAAACCCAATATCCAGACCACATGAAAAGTGATCGCTATGGGAACAGTGCAGCTGTGAAAATCCACGTCAGTTTGTATTAACTTGCCTGGCAAGTCTGTGTAATGCAGGACTCTCTGAACGGCCACCGACAGGAAATAACTCTGGTAACAAAGACACCATACCTGTGTTTAATCTGATGCTTACAAGGAGGGAGGATGTAAAACAAAAAAGCTATTCTCTCTTAAAGAATAAGGTGGGGCAGGCAGGCTGAGGTATGTTTGGGGTCTTTATAGACAGTATCTTATGGGCCAGTTTAATTAGAAACAGAACAAGAAAGCAAGTGCTCAAATTTCTCTCTAGAATCCAATCATCTTCATTTCATTGATGAGCTAGACCTGTAGAAAGCCACAGGAAGCTCCTGGCACCAGAGGGTTTCAGTTTGAAAATCCTGCCAAGTTATTTGGAGTCCAATTAGTTCAGTTGTACAAAGAAAGGACAGACAGACAGACAGACAAAATTCATTTCTATTAAGGAGCACACCATCCCTAAACCCATGTCTCTGTAGACAGATGTGTGTGTATATTGCCACCCTCGGGGTCCCAGGGTGACACAGGATACTTTGAGACACAACAGAGGAGTGAACTCAGAGGTCATTTACCCACAAATTATAAGCCTTAAATCTCAACCAGGCACTTGAGATATACAACAATAAAGCAGGCTTAGTTTACTCTCAGAGCAGAAAGGAAAACAAACCACTCTCCATTTGAGAGTGCCTAGATTTAACCAAATTCATCACTGTGGCTTATCAATTCCAAATTCCAGTTAGGCAAACAGGTCAGGGCTTGGCGTCTCAGAAGGCCGTGTGAAGTTATCAACAAATAGAAGCTTTTCAACTCTGAGCAGACTTTCCTAGAATTCAATTTCCTCAGCACTGCCCACTTCAGGAGGCACAGTTGGGAAATCCCAGATCTTTAACTGAGAAATGTCAGCTTTGGATGAGTGGCCCTCATAAGCTACTCTGCATAGCACCCCATGTAGGAAGGAGTTCAAAAGGGCCAGGTTGAAGGCTTAAAACAATGGTTCTCAACCTGTGAGTCATGACCCCTGGACCCAAACAACCCTTTCACAGAGGTTGCATATCAGATATTCACATTACAATTCATAACAGTAGCAAAATTACAGTTATGAAGTGCAATGAAAATAATCTTATGGTTGGGGGTTACCACAGCATGAGGAACTGTGTTAAAGGAGCAGCATTAGGAAGGTTGAGAATCCCTGACTTAAAGGAACATCCAAAAGGGAGTCAGCTGTCACATACAGTACACATGCAAGAATAACTCGGAGCCTATTAAAAATGAGATACCATGTAGTTTGAGATGCATCAGCCGGTTCCCATTACAATGGACAACAGCCCTGCTCTATTTTTAGAGCCACTGGAAAGATCAAAGAGGAAGGGGCCTGTTCCAACCTCCCAATCCAGGCCCCTCATTTCTGCTTGCTTTTTCTTTGTCATTAGGAACATCTCCAAAACACTCACAGCCAGGACTGCCCGAAATCCCCCACCTTCCGGGGAAAGCTTAAAAACTGCTCTGCTCAGTAGGCTCAAGGAAGGAAACCCTCAGGAGAAAAACAGAACTTCAGGAGAGGTTCATGCTCAAGTTGAAAGTACTGCAGTGCAGGCACCGACCCAGCATCCAGTCAGGCTAGCACTGCATTCTAGAACCAGAGGTTTCCAAGGCTGGCATCTCGGAAGACGAATGCAGATCAACAACAGCAGGACCAAGCCAAGTCTTCCAGGCTCCCCTAACACACACACACACACACACACACACACACACACACACACAAAATACCGCCCCCCCAAACAAACCATCAAACAACAAAACAAAACACATCCCACTGGCTCTAGTGGGTTAGGTTGAGGTTAATTTCTCGGAGACAAAAATGACTTACTTTGGGTGAACAGGCTGTACATTTGTCAAACGCCAGGCTGACAGGAAGGACATTATCGAACCGTGACAGAAATCCCCGGATCTAAAAACAAACAGAACAGAACAATTACATATTAGGCCAGGGATGAACACATGTGTAAAGATGTATGTCCAGTGGGTGACAAGGAGGAGGAAATGGTTACCAGGGGTCCTGACACAGGCAATTCTGTGAGTGTGAGTACCTCCACCCCCATACTGTAATAGGCTTGGGGTAGAAATATATTAGGTTCTTTATTCCCAAGATATATATGATTTTTAAATATCTGAGACCTAAAATAAAATTTACTTAAAAACACAAAAAGCAAGGTGGGAGAACTAAAGCATGTTTCCAGGCTGTGGTGTATCTCAGTTGGTAGAATCCTTGGCCAGCATGCACAAGGCCTTGGGTTCCATTACCAGCATGGTATAAAGCCAGGCTTGGTGGTGCACACTTAAGAACCCAGCATAGAAGAGGTAGATACAGGAGTCCAAAGTCATTCTTGGATACATACATAACAAATCTTAGGCCAGCCTGGTCTGTCTGAGACCCTTTCTCAAAAACAAAATGAACATAAAAAGACTGTTTAAAGAGGTGTCTGAGAAGTAGGTGCAGCCAGGGGGTAGGATGCTTGCCTGGCATGCAGGGGGCCAGGGTTCCATCCCAGCCTCATAAAACAGAACAAAGCTGGGTCATCTAGGTTGCTCTGACTTTCTTCTCCCACGGAAATACAGAGGCTTAGAGTAAGCGTGCATTTCCACAGTTCTCCACGGGCTTCTCGAGGGCAGACAGCTTGGGGACAACAAAGGGCAGAGATTGTCCTAAAGGTAGACTCAGGGACTAGCTGCTGAATGCAGACCCCACAGAAATAAAAATGCATAATCACACCATTGCTGGGGAAACAGCACCACCTTGAGCAGAAACATCTGATTGCAAGCAACAAGTCCACTTTGAGAGCAGCTTGTGGGTCCCACCCACCAAGGTTGAATAGTGATGGGCAGCTGCAGCCTGTTTTATGTACCAGGGAGATACAATTAAATGCATGATGATAAACCTTGGGCATTTCCACAGAAGCATCTGCAGTAAGCAAGACAACACAAATCTTTTTGAAGTTCGCCTGATACCAGAACTTCCTGTTTTAAGTTGCTGAAACCTAGGCTCATAAGGTGAAGCAGCCTGACAAAGCAAGCAAGAGGCAATAAAGCCAGGTTCCCACTGCTATCATGGACACCATGACCAAAGGTGGGTATCTCAGTTAATTTTCTGCTGTTGTGAGAAAACAGCATGACCAAAAGCAGGAATCTGGAGGCAGGAGCTGATGCAGAGGCCACGGAGGAGTGCTGCTTACTGGCTTGCTCCTCATGGCTGCCTAGCCTGCTTTCTTATAGAAAGAATCCTGGACCAGGGATGGCACCACACACAGTCTCTCTCATCAATCACTAATTAAGAAAATGCCCAGCTGGACAGTGGTGACACACGCCTTGAATGCCAGCACTTGGAAGGTAGAGGCAGGCGGATCTCTGTGAATTCAAGGCCAGCCTGGTCAACAGAGTGAGTTCCATGACAGTCAGGACTACAAAGAGAAGCCTTGTCTCAAGAAATTAAAAATAAATAAATAAATTTAGAAGAAAGGAAGGAAGGAAGGAAGGAAGGAAGGAAGGAAGGAAGGAAGAAAGAAAGGAAGGAAGGAAGACAAGGACAATGCTCTATAGGCTTGCCTGATCTTATGGAGGCATTTTTTAAAATTAAGGTTCCCTCCTCTAGGTTGTATCAAGTTGACATAAACTACCTAGCACAAGTACTAAGTCAGAACTTACTGACTCCCTGGGAACCTTTGAAAATGTGACTTTTACTTTCTGAGAGATGGATGCAGTGGCTATTTTACATACTAGAACAAGAGGCCTCGAATTCACTTAAGTTACTTTCATATTGAGTTCTTTTAAAGCAATCAGATTTAACACATTTCCCATTAAAATACCGTTGAATGTAGCCTACAAAACTGTCTCCATTCACGGAGCTTCTGTTGTCATTTCTGGTCTGTAGAATTTTTTCTCTAAACTTATGGAATGGGGAGCAGAGCTGGAGGGAAGGGAGAGAGTAGACCTAGTTATGAGGCTGGAAAGGAGGAGGAGGAGGAGGAGGAAGAGGAGGAGGAGGAGGAGGGAGAGAGAGAGAGAGAGAGAGAGAGAGATGCTTAAGGCCAGCAGTAACACGGGTGTCTTAGGATTACTATTGCTGTGATGAAACACCATGACCCAAAAAGGCAGGTTGGGGAGGAAAGGGTTTATATTTGGCTTACACTTCCATGTCTGTTCATCATCAAAGGAAGTCATGACAGAAACTCAAACAGGGCAGGAACATGGAGGCAGAAGCTGATGTAGAAGCCACGGAGGGGTGCCACTTACTGGCTTGCTTTCCATGGCTTGCTCAGCCTGCCAGCTAGCTTCAAAACCCAGATCCACCTACGAGCCCAAGGATGACCCCACTCACAGTGGGTTGGGCCTCAATAACTAATTAAGTAAATGCTTTTCAGCGAGATCTTATGGAGGCATTTTCTCAATTAAGATTCCCTCCTTCCAGATAACTCTAATTTGTTATCAAGCTGACATAAGATCAGCCAGCTCAACAGGTCACAGGTGTCTCACTAGGACCCAAGCCATCTCACCAGCCTCGTGAGTTAATCTTTACTCATGGTATGAAGTAAGGGTTTAAAATCTTTCTTTTTGCATGTACAAATTCAGTCTTGGCACGGAGGTTTCTGTTTATTTTGAGACTGGGATTGACTCCATAGCCCAGGCTGGCCATGTACTACCGAAATCCTTCTGTTGGTGCTGGGATGGCAGGGTGAGCCCCCCACACCCAAATGCAGAGCTACCACAAAGGAGGCTTGGTGCATGTTGGAAAACCCTTTCTCCAAGTGTCATCAGTTGACTATGTGAGTAAGAGTCCAAGGCTGCAGGATTTGCATACAGCAAGGCTATGGACCATGAAGAATTAAGAGGCCAGAAATGAGCGCTTAGGTATATGGCCAACTATATTCCCTCAGCCTGACAGGAAATCATAAAACTTACGAGGAGTTCAGCACCATACTTAGACCCACTCCCAGAGTGACGCACAACCCAGGTTATGCAGTTCTAAAGGATGTACCTAGACCTTTTCCAAGAGGCCAGGCTTCAACTCATAGTCAAAGAAAGCAAAGATCTATCCCATATTGGAATTCTTTCTACAGCTTTAGAAAGAGTACTACCATTCTACCTTATGAGCCAAAGCAATATTTAAATGAAGAGTTTGTGAAATGGTGTCAAAGATTCTGTTCTCTGACCTTTTCTGTTTTTAAGACTCATTGTGTGTGTGCAAGCGTGTGTATGCGTGCATGCGTGCAGTGCCATGGAGAGAGGTATGAGGATCCCCTGGAACTGGCAGTTGTGAGATTTCAGACTTCGAATCTGGGAACTAAACTTGGGTCCTCTACAGCACTAGCATGTACTCTTAGCCTCTGTGCCATCTTTGCATCCCCCACTCTCCCTTTTCATGGATGGAAGCACAGAGGAGACATGGAAGCAGCTTGTACAGAAATCAGGTCAGTGCCAGGGGCTGATGGAAGGACTGGAAAGGACATCCCCACAAAGGAGCAGCTGGGGTGACAAATGCACCAAGCCTCCTTTGTGGTAGTGAGACGGGAGTGTAGGTGCTTGTCAACACTTATTAAAGGGGACAATTGTTGACTATAAATTATGGCTTGGAAATGTTGATTTAGGAGCAGTTTATAAATTTGGTATTTTCAACAAGTTCATAATGAAAAGTCCCTGAAGCCCCCACCCCCCAAATAATTGCCATCTTTAGTGTCCTAGGGGAAAATGATTTTCATTTACTTCTGGTTCTTGATGCTAATCCCAGGGCATTGATTGCTAATTCTACCATGGAGCTATATGCCCTACCTCCCAGAAGAAAAGATATGCTAAGCCAAAAATATGTGCTTCTTTGCCGCTGCCTGCAATGTGGCAGGACCCTGGAAGAAAGCTACCTATGCTTTCTTGGATCCTGTCCCACTAGTCACTGCAGACCCCAAACAGGCAAAGATGGCAAGGTGAAATCTCTGCTGTCAAGCAGCCTGGGTTATCCCTGGGGTTGGCTATCAGGGCTCGGAAGACAAGAGACACTGCCCTGGGTGTGAAATGAGAGGTGGCAGGCAGTTCACACAGGCCATGAGTGCAGGGCTGTTAAAGGGGGGTTGGCAGTCTCCGTACTCTGGCTGTGCAGTGTGGCCAGACTTCATCAGGCATAAAAAGACCCTTTCAGGAAGTACACCAAGCAATGACAAACATGAGAGGTTACTTCAAGGAGTGGGCCTGGCTCTGTGCCACCACAAAGTCTTCCTCACTCAGGGTGGTGAATCTCCAATAACCATGTCCCTGGAAGTTTGCAGTGGTGGCTGTGTGCTATGCTGGTGGAGGTTTATTCTGGAAGGGCTCAGAGGAGACTGACGGCAGAGCTGGGATGGGTTGTTTTAATTTTAGCTAAAATGACTCCAGTTTTATGCCAGGGCCCTCATACCTCTAGTCTGCTCTCCATGCAGCAGACAAAGCATTCCCTGTTATGCCAGGTGAGGATGCAGGACATGCATACGCACTGGCACCATGCCAGAGCGACATGTTGAGTGTTTTCACCTGTCCTGTGGCAGCTCATTTTGGAGTCACTGTCATCCTGTTACCTCCCACCACTTTCCAGATAAGATAACCAAGACTTAGAGAAATGGCACACACAGCCTTACAAGCACCAAGGAGAATAGCCAGGAATCTCAGTTCTGGTTTATTTTGGCTTTAAAAGCCTGGTGGAAAAGCTAAAATGCATGTAGGAGGGAAAGAGGGGAGGGAGAGAGGCAGGAACTCAAACACATTGTAAAACAAAACACAGATGGTGTAACACCTCTCAGGTGAATTCAATTATCTTCAGTGGATTTTGCCCAGTTGGGTAAAAAATAGATCAGGAAAGGAGGAGGCCTTCCTCTCTGAACCACTGTCCTGGCTATGTTTCCACCAGTGCTCAGTAAAACTAACTTTAGTGCC